CAGCAGCAACGGCTGATCACCTCGTTTGCATACCTGCACCCAACCTTGGCATATAGAGGTCATGTCAAGGACAAGTTTGTTTCAAGTAACAAGGACTGGAAAAGAATGAGTTAACTAGAGTATCAGAACAACATTAAAACAAAAGAAAGGTGTCCTTTTTTGTGTCAAACATTAATCACTTATCAACAAGCTTTCTCTGATCCTTCTGAAGTTGAAATGACCCTAAGTTGACCTATGTCATGTGACAAGTGTGACATCAGCTGCAAACATATTCACAGAAAGTGCATATAAAATCTTTGCTTTGTAAATTTTTGTCTCAGATGAACTTTCATTTGAAAATAAAAAGGTGTTCTCTATGATTGGAGTCTCTTTTTCTCTGTACCTGAGAAATATGTGCCTCCAGCCATACCCAGGTTGTTTTCACACCAACAGTTTTACATCAGAAGAAAGAACTATTTGTTATAAGCGTTCAGATGTGACCTTGACAGCCCATTCTCCTGCCCCCCTACCCCTGCAGGGCGGCTAAGGCGCTCCACCTCCCCACTGGAAGAAATGGATCGGCGCCGGGAACAGGAACACATGAAGGTTGTGGAAGAGTGTCAGTCTGGGCTGGGCAAGATGATCCTGAAAGACATGAAACCTACTGACATCGGAGACATCGACCCTCGGAGTGCTTCTCGTGTCCCGGCCGCTGACCATGAACCACCTTTCAAACCAAGATACGACTCCCCTGTGGACGCTTGTGAGTAGGAAATATTACAACATGAAAATGGTCCCCTTTAATGTGTCATTTTGTTATGTTTCCAGTGTTGTTGTAGCCTGGATGCCAATGAGACTGTCCTCAGCTGGCCTATGTAGGCCCTGGAAACATTGTGGCGTCCAGGCCAGTTCAAATGGTTATTGAGCCAAGATTCACAGATGACAACCTTAGAAGTGTACATGTTCTAGACACATCTAGATAGATTTATCGCTATACAGAATAAGATAATACTCTGATACACATGATCTATCTATTCCTTACTAGATAATTATATGATTATACTGAATTGCATGGCCACAGGTTTTCACACTCAAGAATGGATTTTCACTTATTTTCTGATGACAACAATTCCTACAGAGGGTTAGCTGTTAGCCATTCTGTTATGACTTGGAATAATCATGAATCAAAAGGGCACATAGCCAAGTTTTACTGTTGGACCAATCTACATGTACAGTATTTTTCTGATGACAAAGCCTTGTAGGTATTTTTTGCCCACTGTGAGAGTTGTCACATCTTAAGATGTATTCAGCAACGTGTATTGAGTCTCTTGAAATCTGTTGTAAACAACTGAAGGCTGGTAGCTCCCGTGTTCCCTGTATATCTGTCTCACCCTGTAGACTCCACTACAACTTAATCTCGAAGCAGAAGTTTTGGTTGCAAAATGGTGACAGTATCCAATAGGTCAGATAGTATCAAATTAGCCAGAAAGTATCCAATTGTCCTCTGAACTATCTTGCCTACTGTCACAATTTTGTCACTGAAACTTATGCTTGGAGATAAACTACAAACTTACTAACTTGTCTGTGTGTGCTTTCTTCTTTACCTTGCTGGGTCCAGCGCCCTCCAGGACATATGTGTCCCACATGGAGGAGAATGGTATGTGGAGCCTCCTGGCTGCACCACACTGCACATAAACACTTCTCTCACACTTAGGCTCTAGGCTCAATTGATTTGCTCACCTAAATTCTGCTATTACATTACATAGTATCTTCTTTTTTTTTTTACATCCAGATTTTATCTTTCAGAAGGCACTGCATGCCCCTGCATGGCTACCTTGATATATTTAGCTTTTGTTAGCTTATCTTTGGGGGTTGGGGGTTTAGGGGGAAGAAGAATAAACTTTGTGCCAACATTCTACTCTAAAACTGCATATGACATTTACATTTTATTTTCTGATTGCTTGAGACTGACTGAGTTTCATGGTCTTTAGAACTTTGACACATCATTTTCTACCCCACAGAACTTTTTGATCATAGACAAATTTCCTGGTTCTCAGACTTTTGCAGATAAAAAATTATCTGTCTGTCTGTGTTATTTGTTTTACGTAGTGGTAAACTTCCTTTTGACATGACACGCCAGTTTTGTATATTGGGTACAAGCTGCAGAAGACCAGACTGTAAGACTTGAACCACTCACACCAGGATAGACCACTGTAACCTTATAGTCTCATTGATGAAGGTTAGACATCCAGGTAGAACATTACTTAATACAAAATAAATCTAGCAACTTGATAAATTCTCTGAGGAATCTGGCATTTCAGATAGCATCTGCTCTGTTGTCTCAGTTACTGGTGAAAGTTAGTAGCTGCTATCTGAAAAATCTGACTTTTCAGAGAATCTATATAATATCCAGTTGCTTAATTTATTTTGTACATGTATGACATGACCCTTCACTTTATTGGAGAAAGTCCCAGAACCAGCACAATTGAAACGGGGCTGTTTTTTACTTTCCACAAGAACCCCCAGCACAGTTAAACTCTGGATCCTAACCTCAGTTCCTGCTTGATTTTGCAGTGGACGTGTCACCAAGACAACCAAACTACGCCCCGCCCGGGGGGTACCTGGAGGCACAGAAGAAGGCGTCAACACTCCCCGCAGCTTCACGTCCAGGGATGGTGAGTTTTCATCATCATTCTTATCATCATCATCATGTGTTCTGTAATATTGTCAAGCAACCAATGCCCTTATATAGCAACCAATGTCAACAGCATCATCATAATGTGTTCAGTAATATTGTCAAGCTACCAATGCCCTTATATAACAGCATTGGCCTTATGTAGCAGCAATGTCCTTATAATTTACATAGCTCCAAATGCCCTGATGTAACTGGTGCTCTTTCCATAAATTTACAATTAGTCACATAAGAAATTGCACATGCTTTCCTACAATATATGATGTGTTGAAGTTGATAAAGAAGCTATGGGGATATGACCAATCAATATCAAAACAAACTTTTTGTGCTGAGTTTAAATACAACTTGCTTGAAAGAGAAAGTTTGCTTTATTTCCTGTGGTGTGGCACTTACAACCATGACCATGGCATTTTCCGTGTGCAAACATTGGAGATTTTCCTTGTCCAAAAATGCTGATGCCTTTCTGTGCCTGTTGGATTCTTCAGATTGCCAGGATGTGTGGTAAACTGCATAGCTTGCAAATGTAGTTCTGACTTCCATATCCAGCAAACAGAGACCGCAAATCAACGCATGTCACTTTAGAATCCATGTAATGTATATCATGTTTGCATTTGAGTCTTTAATCCAGGTTCCATTTTTGCCCAAGAATGTTGGAATCTGTTTCTGCATTCATTAGAATAGATATGCATGCAACTGACTTGTAACATTGCATCATGTAGAATATCTTTCACAATCAACATTTTCAACTGTTTATATGTTAATTAATCACCAAGACGTTCGACGTTGATATGATTATGGGTCTATCTATCTTGTCGTGTTCAACACATGAGAAAGCTGCCACACTATGAGCCTGGTCATATAAGTCATTAGATCGTCACACGATCGAATGACGAAGGGGATTCTTTGGATAGTCATGCATTTGACCTGCAAAATTCAGCTGTATTGTTATAGAAGTGATTGTTGTTGGCTGTTGGTTCTCTCACAGCCTGTCTGAAAATCTTAACAGCATCAAAATCATACAACGAACTGTGACGAATGTCACCACACCATATAAGATGTACATCATTGGAGGCAGATGTGAAAGTCTGCATGCAATATCGATGCCAAAGCCATGGTCATGTCATCCCACCTCCATGGCATGTACACATGGAGACATTGCCTTGCCTGGTGTGGGCATGTCGCATGTATGCTGGGGATGCATCCTTCCCAGAAGACCGTGTGTTTTGTGTTGACCCAGCTGACAGGTCAGTACCGTATGGTCTGTTGTTATTAACACGTCTGACCCATCATGCACTGCAACATCTATAACATGGACATGTGAGAATCATATAAAGTAGCAATATTATAAATGCCAAAAGTAATGCAGTACATGATAAGTCTTTACAAGATGAATTGTGGTATTATCAAATTTTGTTTGATTACATTTCAGTTTGCAATGCTTCAGTTTTATTTAGCAAAATTTAAGTTAGATTCTACAACATGCAATCATACATGATAATACCTTACCACCAGTACTGAACAGCTTTCCTCCGATCCTGTGTGCTTTATGTGTAGGTTTCATCTGTGCCATACTCTCTCCCTGCTCCTCCTCCAATTTCCTCCTTCAGTTTGTTACATCTGATTCAGGAACATTTCTAATCATCATGACTTGTGGTTGACTCTGACTGACAACTGACTAGCAATATTCCATTTCCATACAACTTAGTCAATTACTTTTCTTGAAATTTTCATAGGTCTTAAAGATGTTGTTTATACCTTTATCTCCATTATTGTGACTATATATTATGTAGAATAGAATTTATGAAGACTTCAAACTCTGGAACTGCACATACACAGAATGATGAACTTAGATGTTACATATTGTTACTTTACATATACATTGTGTAGATTCCAACCATCCACAATCACTTATAAAACTCACTCAGTTGTTTTCCCTGCAAAGGCTGTTAATTAAAAGTGTTATGTCATGACTCTGATTTTTCCTGGACTGAAAACTGACTCAGGCAAATGTCAAACTGTTTCAGGGAGCAATGCCAGGGGGTCAGAATGATCCTGAGCCCATGGTAGGAAGACTTAAACCACATTTCGTTCCCCCTCCCATGTAGAACTAAACCGTGTGGATTGTGCAGAGATGTTAATCAGTAGTTGTCAGGGATCCCACTATTTACTGGAATATGTCAGACTACGCATGGAGAGGGGTGAAGTCTACAGAAATACAGTATGTTTTGATGAGTAAACATCATAGGTTGCTATATTTTGGAATAAAATGATGTATATATGGCCTTGGCATGGGAACAAGAAATCACCAACCTTCACCTATCTTAACATTGTAATCAGTTATGATAACAAACACGACAACAGACTGGGATAGCCATCACATTCACCCAGTATTTTTCAGTGATTTCTCGTCCTCTGGGCCATATATACTTCAATTCATGCCGAAATACAGCAACCTGCATTGTTTACTCATCAAATCTGCATTTTGGTAGATTTCACTCCTTTGTTGCGTATTCCGGGGAAATAGTCAAACTGGTTGTCAGTAATGGTCAGCCACAGGCCTTGCCCAGACCAGGGTGCTGACTGCTGGTTTTGGTGTGTTTCCTGCAGGCTGGCAGAAAACGTAAATCATTTCTAGATGTAGTGCAATGTTATTGGAAGTATGACTGGTCCCATGCATTCACAGGACTACAGGTCAGATAACGCACAAACCATTTCTCTCTGGAACATTCTTCCATTCTCTGCTTTTTTGCATTCATTCGCATCTCCTTTAGTTGGTTACCCATCCACTGATTTTGCATTTTGACCTTTTTTTGATTTCTTTGCATTTTTTTCTCCATCCATGTTACTGAGCAAGGCCTTGTGTCCCTGTTACTGTCAGCTGTGTCGTTGTGTTTCTGTCCTTGTTGTTGAACAGCTAACAACCGTTAACACCAGTGTCATGCTGTCATTACTTTACTTGTTATGCTGTTTTTGTGAAGCTGTGACTGTGTACTGTAATGGGGAAAAACAATCAAAACCAGTGCTATCAACTTAAACAGAATTCAATAATGAAGCAACTATGTAGAACTTGGTCCACTTTTCTAACACAGATTCCTGCTACGGGTACTTTTCCAGTGATTGAAATTACATGAAGTCAGCTGTATACAGAAACCAGCATGCTATGTCACATTAGTTTGGTTTGAAATCATCAGCTCTAATACCTGTGTGTTGTAATGTTACATCTCATAGAAATGAAACAATTTAACATTTGGAAAAGTTTGGGTGAAGCTACAGGTATTGGGATAAATCATATTAATGCAAGCATATTCTTTTGTGAGAAATTACATTTTTGTACAAATCAGTCGCTTTGTGAAAGAAAAACAATTCAGTTTTCCTGAGGGAAGACAAAGAATTGTGTCATCTAAAACTTCGGTTATCGGACCAACCAGTATACCCAGACACATTTGTTGCGCCTTTAGTATGCTAAAGGTTAAAGACTTCTAAATATTCTGTTCCTGTTACCACCTTTCACCCTCCCTTTTACTTTTTCCAATCCTCCCCATAGTGCAGCTACATGTAGGTATATAATAACATAGTAATCATTACATTGTACTTGTAGCTAGACTTAATGTTGTGTATAGCAGCTTCTCGTAGTGTATCTTGTGATAAGTCTTATCATATCATTCAAAACAAGTCTTGTTCTTCCAGATCTTCAGAATCTAAGGCAAGAACATCTGTCTTGCTCCTACCAACAAAATCACCGGAGTAGACTTCATCTCAGAGTCGCCTGGGGGCCAAGTCTTCAGCATCGTGGCATTATATCCAGTTAGAGCACAGCCATAGATGGCACATGCTACTCATAGATGTTGTAGAACTGCAAAAGTCCAAAAATGTAGGTTTCGTCAAAGCAAAGCTTGAAAATGAATAATATCCTGATTAGTTGAATGCACACAATGTATTCACAAAGATCATTGTCATACATGTGAACTTGGCAGTGATTATTAACCACTGGATGATGACTAGAGAGGCCAGATGGTTCTGATGTTGAAAATGATGCCAAGAGTCAACAGAGCAGGGACTGTGCAAAACACCAGTCCGGTTGATCTAGTTGGAGCATGATTCATGGATTCAAAGAGAAATGGAGTCAAAGTTGTCTTTACATGGTGGATTATTGTCCAACATTACAGGGGTATATTTGGTTTCTGTGTACACAACTGATATAACTTTGAAAAGGCAGACAATGGTGGTGTTACGAGTCTCATGATCTAGTAACGTGACGGGGAAAGCACTGGTTGTAGATAGCAACTCAGTTGCTCTGTATTTAGATGGAAGGAGAAATATCAAGAAAAGGTTGAAGCCTGTGCATCATGTACAAACATGTATGTATCATGTCCACATAATGAAATTATATAAACTGCACACTCATATGGGTACTACTAAGTTTGACATTTGACACAGCTTTTGATAGTGCTAGACAATAGCATCATGTAAGAAATGACAATAAACTGTGATGCAACCACCCAAAACGTGTACTGTCTCATGGATTGTGTGGTTGTTGTTAAACTAAATGTTAATGTGATTTCTATGATATCGGAAAAAAGAGTGATAGGTACAATTTTGAGAGACAAGAGACCAAAGATTACAGTAGAGACAGGAAAAGATTTAGTTCTGGCTGTCTCCACATGAACTTAAGAGATTTTATAGCCCTGGCCTGTAGGTTGAGGCCTTTAAGTGAAGTAATTTTCAGGCACCATGCTTTTAGGACTTAGAAATGTACTTCTTGAATGTCAGTCGACATGTAAGACATGTCACTGAGTACAGATATTTTTTCAGCTCAACCCCATTGCCAGGTTTCTATCACCAGACAAGTAAAGGAATGTTTTCCCCAAAAGCTGTTAGGGTTCATTCAGCTACTGACCACAAGTCCAATCACTGCTGATTCATGTACTGACACAATACCACCCACTTACATCAGGCTGGAGCAGTACACTAAGGCTAGAGCTGAGCTAACAAAGCTTCAAATCAGATTCATTTAGAAACTAGGAGTATAATCTTCAGGATTTAAAAATGAATGAAATCCTTAAAATATAATAATGTAATAAAGCAGATCCATTAGTGTTTGCCAAAATTTATGTTCTGAGTAGAAAGCATGTCTCCTGCATTGCCAATGACATTTTAGTTTCTTTCTTTTGTGTTTTTTTAATAGTACATGAATGTAGGATGAGTTTATGGTACTTTGTGTTTTAAACATGTACAGCATATAGAAAATGTCCCATAGTTTACTGTAGATGACAGAGACGTGTTGTGTAAATCTGAGAGCCTATAGTATGCTATACTATAGTGTAACTGTAGTGACTGCATGGCTCTGAGTTGTTGTACATGTATGACCTTTCCAGCGAGGTGCTCGTGATGATAGCGGCCCTGATTTGCCTGATTTTGAGGCTACCTACGTCTCCACCACGTACATTTCCCTCCAAAAGAAGCCTCACACTACGGAGAATGGCCTGACAAATGTAACCTTTACTCTTTATTTTCCCCTAACCCTCCTGGTTTGTCGTGGTTGTTTAGGATGAGCACTAACCCTGCACACTAACCGGGACATTCCGTGCAACGCTAACTCTCACCACCTCTGCTTCAACAAGGACTCCCCTGGTGTAGAAACCTCCTCAGAAATGTGTTCTAGATTGCTGATACTAACCTGGCTGTGCAAATACAACACTGTGACATTGTTTGGATATGTGTTGCAATTGATTTGATGTGTGCTATTAAAAACACCAGGCCATAAACATTGTACATATGTATGGAACATTTTCAGTTCGGGTCTAACTCGTATGAGGTGCCAATGGTTGTAATATACATGTAGCTGACTGTGGTTACCATTGTGTTTAAAAACATCTGAAGAATGGGATTTCCTTCAGACACTTTTGAAATCTTCAAATTGATTGTTTATTCATTTACTTATTTATCTAATCTTCAAAAT